CAGCAAGCCATTCTCGAAGCCCTCCTTTCTTCCCCTGAAACCAAAAGCAAATGCAAGGACAGTCCTCGTGGTCGCAAACGTTCCCATGAGGACCCCGATGATTCGGATCCTCATGAGGGGGAGAAAAAGTGGTCATGACCACTTGAGCAGACTGCTTTACCTAGCCAAACTCCACAGCCCATTCAACCAAAAACCTCTACCAACCAACAGCCACCAGCCGCAGCCAAAATCTCTAGCCTGGTCGAGCTAGACGCAACATCCCGAGGCGTATCTCCCAGAGATACCAACCGAGGAGGGGATGGAAGTCCTGATGATGCTACCACTGGTACATCTTTTACATCAGGCCATCAGTTAGAACCTAGTTCAAAGCTGATGACAACGGGAAATCCTAGTGAAACCGGTGTTTCGATTAACAGGCCTCCGTCTCCAAAAGGTCAACCTGCCACTACCATTCTGTCGTCGGATGAAATGCATGATCAGCTAGAAGATATCATTATTCACGACAAATGGCCCAGACAGTGGACGGAGATGGATCAAATCATGCAGGATGAAGAGTGTGAAGATATGCAGAGGAACTGGTTTCTACGAGAACTCATCAACAAATGTGCTGAAGATATAATCAGACTCGAGGACGATGAACGAAAGGAAGGGGAGAACTACAAGGAATCTCAGAAAACACTTGAATCTGTAGTCAGACAATCAGCAGGAAGACTTCCCAAGACAGAGAAACCTTGGGACAACGTTCGCATCAAAGCCCCCTTCCAAGAGGAAATCAGAGAGCGTATTTGGCGTAGACCAGACAAAGTCAAACCGTTGAATGAACTGAAGCTACGAGGCCTTACTCATCTCAAAGGAAAGCAGGTTGGAGGTCATCTACATATGCTGTTGCAAAGGTCAACCGGTACTCAAAGAGAGCTGATGGAACAAGACTTGAAGTCCAATATTCTCCCTATTCATCAAATCCTGCAGGTTAAGGCCGAGGATTATCACGGAGTGACATTCTATTCTTACAGGCTTCAACGCACTGACGGGAGTGAATTTACTTGCCAAGAAAACGATTTCATCATGCTTAAACCAGACGACATCTATCAAATGTTTATGGCTTATCGATACCTTCCGGTCAGGCAAAGCAAAACATACAGCGAAGATCTTGCAGCTATCAAGAGATTCATGCTCAGACAAATCAGAGTGCACTCATCTCACGACCTACAGATGGCTATTGAGTGCAACTTGACAAAAACAAATCTTACAAAGCCAAGACTGTATGGTCCAGAACTCGAAGACTTCCCAGCTTACCACATCTTCTTCACACCGCCAGCAGTCACATATCTCAACCACAAGAACGAAAAACGTCTGATGGTGGTTAATGAAATTGAGAAATATTGTGATGGAATGCTGAAGATAATCAAAGAACAGCTTCTAAAGATGAAGGCACAGCTAGAGCAAAATCTTCAGGAGGCATCGTCATACGTTCAAAAAGAACACTCTACAGTAGAGACCATTTTAAAAGCCATCGACGATCGTCTAGAAAAGAGAAACATGCTAAGGCAATACGAGCATGCACTGAATATGAGGAAGCACTATTTCAAATCACAGAAGCAATAACAAAGTGGCACTTGATCACAAAGGGGGAGATTGTTGAAGATATTTTAATTGTGAATCAAGTTTGTCATAGATTAGCTTTATTATTATTCCTTGTATTAAATAAGTGCATGTATTAGATAGAATATGGGTCAAGTGTTAGGCCCATACAAACAGGCTAAAAGCCTTTCACGCATACCTGAACCTCGCCTATAAAAAGGGAGTCGAGGGTTCAGGATTAGGTTAACTTTCGTACTTGTTCATTATAGCCTTAAGCGCAAATCTTTCTGTGTACGAGTTCACGGTCTATCAAAGAGGGTTTTACATCGATTCATCTGTGTTCATCTTTACGTTTAATCTTCTTTGTTAGACTGCTATTCATTGTTGTTACAGAAACAGGGACTATCAAAGATATTATACTCTAAAGATTTCATCTGTTTGTCACCGAGTATAAAATAAATAGTTATGTTTTTTATCCCCTAAGCAGAGAATTTATTATTATTTTATAATCAATAATCGGAATAATTAGAATAATCATTAATAAAAGAATTGGATATGGGGGAACGAAATCGGAACGGGGAATGGAAATCGAAATGCGAGAAATAGATGGTACCTCTTTCACACTTACCAAGCAACCTTCAGGAACCAAAGATATTGAAGTTGATTATGTCTTCGCCCAATCTTCTAACAAACCTTCTAGCCAGTGTGATACCTATTGCAGAAAATTCAATAGGTTTTATACTAAAAGAAATTCTATGATTTCTAGGGATTGAACTAAATGATGGACGAATGAGGTGAGGAGGAAACATGGATTCGTTGTTATGGATAGAGGCGGTGGAAACATGGTACGTGGCTTTGGAGACAGGGAGATTCGTCTTTGTATTGGAGGCGTAAGAAATGACTAAACAAAAGGGGGAAAGGAAATGGGAATAGGGCAAATATATGAACAACCGATTAAAAAAGAAGAAAAAAAATGGATGATTAAGATGTTGTGTCCTTAGGCAAGAGAATATGTAAGAAAAATTGTATTGTTTTATATGAAGGCAGGAGGAAGAGCGGCAGTGCACGTCGGAGTCATGGTTTTCAAGACTGGTCTCTGTCGTTTCAGTGGTCCCAAGATATATCCTAAGAAGGGCATGAGATTTGTTCGCGCTAATTCCTAGGTTTTCCTGTTTTCAAACTCAAAATGTAAAAGGTACTTCTACAACAAGCTGAAACCTACCAAGCTCACATGGACAGCAATATACAGGAAGCAACACAAGAAGGATCGATAGAAGCATCAAGAAGAGGAGACGTGCCAACAAGAAGCCATACTCAAGAATTATCATCGGTGATACACGAGAGGTCATTCATAAGAACTAAGAAGGGAAGTGAAAAACCAGAAGTCTAAGATATTGCTCGTGTAGCTGCACTCCGAGAAATTAAGGAAAGGATTAAGAAGACTTAAGATGAGAAAAGGGCTAAGAAAGCTATGGTGGTGCTAGAGTCACAAAAGGTTGGGAGGAATAATCTTAAGGGAGGAGGTGTTATGCCAAAAGGCCCTAAGATGGGTGGTGGTGGTGGAAAGCGCTGAGCAATTCTGTTTTTTTTTTCTCTGTCATCTTGCCCTAGCAAAATTTATATCATTAGCTTGTACCATTTCTGTTTCTCTAAGGTGAACAAGTGTCATGTTATTTCTTTTTGAAAATTTGTTTTTTAACTTTGATTGTGAAGACTTCATCCTTGGTGCTTTTATTAATTCCTTGTACTTGGTGATTAAAAAAAGATACAGATAATATCTCAGCAGAATTCAATTCATAGTTAGGTAAAGTCATTATGCAAAAATCTAACATGGAACCATACGCTCTTACATATCAGACAATATGATTACGATTAAGATGTTCCTTTTAAACTTAACATGCTTAAATTACCACATAGGAGAAAGTGAAAATTAAATGAGATGATGCGAGGGATACTTCCATTGTTAATGCAGATTAGTGCCAAAGGGAGTCCAGTAGTGCGGCCTGCTTCTCAATGAGCCAATGATTACCAATAAAATATATTAATTACTATCTTCTAGTTTGGACTCTGAAATTCTAATGGAATCACGTTCAGGAAAAACTAAGAAATAAGTAGGAATGTTTACTATTTTTAGGTGCTAAGAGAAATTTGATTTCACTCATTTCTCACATTTTAAAAGTAAAAACCTTATTTTAAAGCAACATTATATGACCCAAAAATAATGTTAACTAAGATATATGTTCAACGTTTAAAATTAATTGTAGTTTAATTAAACCCCCACTCGAGGGATCATATACTAAAAAGTAATGATTATAGATAAGTTTAAAATTTCTCTAATATACTTAAATAGGAGTTAAATGATTTTAATATCTAAACATGATTAAACTTTTCATTTTTTCTGATGCCAATCTCACTCCAGTCTCCAAGCTTATTTTTCCAGATACAATCCTGATGCCATCTCACTCCAGGCTTATTTTTCCATTAATGAATTGCATAGTACTATTAAAAAGGCTTTATGTGCTGATAATTATGGCCTTTTTATTTTCGTTAAAAACCTTTTTACTCATTGTATTTTCGTCTTTTTTTCTTGGTCTCATTTATTTAACGTTGTTGCAATTTTTTGAAGGAAGTATTGGCCTAGTCCCCTACGTTATGTAATATATGCTTATTCAATAAAATTATGACATGTCTCCTGGCATATGCCCCACTGATTTTGGTGGTTTGCCTTCCGAAATAAAAAAAACTAATGGATATTGTGTTATTAATACTTTTTTATCATTTTTACCAAATTATGTTTCTCGCTTTGTATCATTTTTACCAAATTGTGTTTTGTATGTGTTCTATAGGTCGTCAAACGGTGAATTGCGATAATTGAGATCGATTTAGGACGAAAAACGCAATTTTTCGCCACCGGGGCGTCCCTGACCGGCCCCGGTTGGGCCCAAACCAGAGCCGGTCTGAAATAGAACGTTTGGGTGTTAACGTATTTGGGAAGGAGAACGTCGCCAAACGGTTTGGCGACTTTCCCCGACCAGAGTTAAGTCCACCAGTATATTGGTAAATAGTTTTAACCCAACATTAATTCCGTAATTATTTAATTAATTAGCATTAATACGAAAAGAACTCAACTTTTTTTCATCATTTATAAATTATTTATAATGACAGTATATATATACACATAATTTAATATGAATAAATAATTAAAATTCCAATATCTTTATCTCAAATTCACACATAAATGTGAATGTACATATTACATACTCCGTAATTCATAAGGGAATACCCCGTAACAATACGTAATAAACAAGAAAAAAATGCAACCTAAAATAAAAATATATGTGCCAAAACACAAAAAGACCGAAACATCAATATAGAATAGATGAGTAGACTGAAACATCAATGGAGAATAGATGAGTAGATTGAAACATCAATGGAGAATAGATGAGTAGTGTGCACTCCCACTTTCCAAGTCCCTCGCCGGAGGGGCGTGGATATTGTTCACCTAATGTCAGAATATCTTTATAGTGAAAATTAATACGAAGTAACTTCTTTATAAGAAATCTGCATTTTCATGTGGATTCAGAACCTGGGTCTCTGCCAAAAATGCAATCTTTAGACAAGTCCAACGTTGATTTGGAAGCAGGCGGCGGGGACGGCCGCCGTTCCTCCGGCGAGGAATTGTGTAAGAGTGAGATTATCGCTGTGCCGGAAAAGAGGAGGAGATCATCGGTGTCAGAATACCTGGATGTGGATCTGGAGACAGAGGGGCAAGAAAATGAGGTACATTTGGAGAATTCCGAGAGGGATTGCAGGATATGCCATTTGGGATTGGATGCTGATGACCCTGATTCTGGGCTACCCATTGAACTGGGCTGTTCATGCAAAGATGATTTGGCTGTTGCTCACAAACACTGTGCTGAGGCTTGGTTCAAGATTAGAGGAAACAAGACTTGTGAGATTTGTGGATCAATAGCACAAAGCGTGGTTGTGATACACGATGCCGAGCACGGTCAGGATCCGGATCCTGAGCTGCAAGAGCAGTCAAGCGATGCAAGTACAACAACTGTGACCGTGGAAATGCCAGCATCCGCAACAAGGTCCCGGAACTTCTGGCAAGGTCATAGGTTCCTTAACCTCTTGCTAGGTTGTATGGTGTTTGCCTTTGTCATCTCCTGGCTCTTTCACTTCAATGTACCTTCATGATAACATCTCCTTGATGAAAATGAATGCAGAAACAATTCATTTCCATGTTGTTGTTCTAGTCGCATAGCTTCTTCCAATTTGTACCATTACATGTTGCAGAGGCGGACCCACTAAGGGTCCCATGGGGTCCCGGGCACCTCGAAAAAAATACCTATATATATATTATATAAAATTAATTATTCATTTTATATTTACACAAAAAACAACCTTAGCACCAAAAGAATGAAGCAGTGCAGCGGTGATGGGTGCTAATTCCACAATTGAAGTCATGGGTTTGAAACCCAGCTTCTTCTTTTTATTCTTTTTTTTAGTACTGGGCTTGAACAATGTATACGAATTTCCAACAAAATTTCAACTTGGTTCATTTAGCTCATTGGTTGAGTATGCCTTTCTTTGTTCAAATGACTAGAGTTCGAATCCCATCTCCATCATTATTAATTTTTGCTATTTTTCTCCAATTTACACCTTATTTTCTTTGAAGGAAATTTCACGTTTGTTATACTCCAACTTGAACTTTTATTTTCTTCATTTCTTCACGCTAAATGTATCCAAATAACATCAAATGTATCAGAAAATACATAATACACGCATAAGACTGCACTAATACAAATTAACGACAAATAATAAAAATATGTACAAAAGTACAACTTTAATAACTAAAATTATCAACAAACTAAGCCTAAAAAGTGTGTAAAATATAAGCACATCAGTCGCCCGGGTTTTTTTTTCTCTGCTGCTTTTCTTTGCATATCTTTTTTTTAATGTTAGATTAAATTAATAAATTCATGTATTTATAAATGTTATTTTCAATTTTATACGATTTACGATGAAAAGATATTTTGATGTTGTACCCAAATTTAAAGAAACCTAGAGTCCCGGGAGTAGTTCATGTGTTAATTCAAATGATTCGCCATTAGTAAATGAAGAATTGAATCAATTTATTTATTAGTTTTATACTTGTATTATTATCATGCCTAGTGGGAGGTCTCGAGTTCGAAACCCGCTAGGCACATAAGCAGCGGCGGAACCAGACAATAATTTGAGGGGGTGCTCTTATATTTTATTTTAAAAAACAATTTTTTATTAGGATATAATAAAAACGAGTGAAAAATAATTATTAATGCATATAGAGTGAGGTTCTATTAAAAAGAGTTATTCCAGTGAAAAATGAGAACGGACGCATTTTTTACTCGTTTTGATACACTAGTAGATATTTATTTTACACTTTTTCACAATGATAGAAAATTTTGATTTATTTATCAAATTGTCACCGAGTTTTTGATAAAATATAGTGCATTGTTGACTGATTTTGACTCATCGGATCTCAAGTTAAATGCACAAGATTTATTCTCGATCAATTTTCACGATAAGAACTCTTTTATTTGATCCGAAACTTATATATATGTATATGTAGTGTGTCTCAAATAAAAATGCTATTATACTAAACAAAAGGTAAATACTTATATTAACTTAAAGTAATTTTAGAATTATTCTTGACACAACGTCCGTATATGTCATTATTAGAAGAAGAAATGATTAAAATTAATTTGAATTGAAGAAATGAGAATTTAAAATAAAAGATATAGAAATTCAAAAAGTGTGATTTAAACAACACTACATCCTAGAGTGATTTAATTGAACATAAATAATTACCAAATGGGCTAAAGTCTAAAGAAGCAATAATGGAGAAAGCAAAAAATATTGTTGCTCCTGAGAATTAAACCCGAGCGATTTAGGTAGACAAAGTTGTCCCAACCTCCACCCTACCATTTGAACTATCACAACTCATATGTTCAAATAGAGACTCCAATTTAATATATGAATACTTTCTGAACCGGGGCTGAGATATATACATATATATACATACAGAACCACCGCCGAAGAAGGGGGAGCGCCGGCACCGGCTCGCCCCCTAATTCCGCCACTGCACATAAGGGTTTGAAACTTAATGGAGTGAGTTTCAGACCTGATTACTCCAGGACTCCAGGCCCCTCCCCGCCCCCTCTCCCAGACCCCCCTGGAGTAAAAAAAAGAAAAAAAAAAGATATAAAAGGGTAGGGACCCCGTGGCTCTGACTTTCTGGGTCCGCCACTGACATGTTGTAATGATGTTTGGTGTAATCCTATGAAAATCATAAGCTTTGTTATGAATTGAGTTGATGTGTGTTTAGCTTCAACCAGCTCAACTGCTCAAAAAAAAGATGAGTAGAAAAGGCCTTGAACATTTCGCCTGCAACTTGAGTACTTCTTACTAATCAGTTGATTAAATTTAGCCTCCTCAATGTTTTTCCTCCAAAGATACAAGCATTAAAATATAACCTTGAGTAGTCACATTAACTAATTGGTCAGAGAAAGATACCACTAAATTTAACCAATATAAGTATTGGGTACTTCAATATTTAACATAATAAAACATCCTAAAGATTAGAGGACACATGATACTAAATGGTAGCATCAACTAAATGAATATTCCAAATTTAATACTACGTAGAATACAACCCTTTTTTCCATACCTATAAACAAAGTAAATGAGATATTCTATATCAACACACTTGTTCTGAAAAGTTCCTTCTATGAAATCAGCATACATATAAGTAAAAAAACGTGATCAACGTTATGTATTCTTGGTCCAGAGTACTCATCAGTTGGTTGAGGCATATTAAAGTAGCTTAGGTAACATATTACATATGCTTTCATTATGGGTAAATCTTTTCTTCTTTGCTAGAAGCATGAATTTAGAAACATATATTCAGAAACAAATATTCTCATGTACAATGTTTTTCAAATATTCAGAAACAAAAAAAGAGAACATGCTCTTGAAACTGAAGCATTTATGAACTAATGGTAAAAAAGAGATTAAAAAACACACCTCTATAAAAGTTTAAAAATGTTCTTGTACTCATAACTACTCTTCAAAAGACACGGAAAAAACCATGAGCCTGCAAGATGACCTGTACAAGAAAAGTCACATCTTTCATCTTACTTAACTTATAAGGGTAGATGAAAAACTCAAGCACAACATTCACTAACAATAAGAGTTATAAATAGGCAAATTGCATGTCCAGTAATTAGTTCAAGTTGGCTCGGGCACGGATGGCTCAAATCACCTAGATGCAGGCCCAAATGGTACAGATGCATGCCCAGATTGCCCAAGTGCAGACAGGAATGCAAGTCCAAATGGTCCAGATGCAAACCCAGATGGCCCAGACGTAGGTCCAGATTTTCCAGATTGCCCAGATGCGGACAGGAATGCAGGCCCAGTTTGCCCAAATGCAAAACCAGATCGCCCATTTTCAAGCACAAACTCTTGATCGAATTGCGGGGCTTAGTGCTGCAACTCAGGTTGCACGTGCCCGGGCATACAATTGCATTCGGAGTAATACCGACAACATCCGCGTTGTAGTAAAAATTTTGCACGGTCATCCTGCCAAAAACCCTCCTCCATACTTTGATTTTGATTAAGCTCAATATGTCGTAAGGGAAAATCCCATGTTGGCCTTATTCCTGACAACTTCTTATACATTAATCATCTTGGACATGATCATGCAAACTCCATACATTGGTTCCATAATGAACCATTACTTATTAGAGATGGTTTCACTTTGCATCATTGTCATCACAAACTTGCTCATTTTTTGAGAGCTTACATGTTTGGGTAAATTCAGTCCTACTTAAAGAATTTCTGTGATTTATTTTTTCTTTTCAAATTAAACCATATTTTTTAAAATTCATTCATTCATTTTCATTTACCCCAGTGCCGCAAAGGCTCCCACCTACGGTGGGGTAAGGGGGGTCGGATGTACGCAGTCTTACCCCTGTACTAAAGCACAGAGAGACTGTTTCCGGATGACCCATAGTGAAAATCCCGTCCAAAATTGCATGGACTGACTGCTGCTTCATAACAAAGAAGCGCAGACAGTTTAGTGAGTCATTTTGCTTTATTCCATCATAATCTCAAGCCAAAAAATAATGAATCTTTGGCTCCATTGCAAATGATGGAAATTTTTTTTAAAATTAATTACTTAACTAAATTTTATATAGTTTAACTAAGTAATTAATCTTAAAAAATATGATTTAATTTGAAAGAAAAAATAAATCGAAGAAATTCTTTAAATAAAATTGAACTTACCCAAGAATTTAAGCCCTCAAAAAATCAACAAGTTGGTCATGATGATGATGCAAAGTGAATCCATCTATAACCAATAATGGTTCATTATAGAACCAATGGATAGAGTCCAAATGATCATGCCCAAGATGATTAATGTCTAAAAAGTAGTCAAGAATAAGGCAAAAAGAGGGATTTGCCCATACGGCACATTGAGCTTCATCAAAATCAAAGTATGGAGAGTTTTGGGCAGGATGGTTGTGCAAAAAAATTTACTACGGCGCGGATGTTGTCAGTATTGCTCCGAATGGAATTGTACGGCCAGGCACGTGGAACCTAAATTTCAGCACAAAACCCCACAATTCGGTCAAAAGTTTGTGCCTGAAAATGGGCGATCTGGTTCTGCATTTCTGTCTGCACCTGGGCAACCTGGACATACGTCAGTGTCATCTGAACTTGCATTTGGACAATTCGTGCCTACATTCCAGCCTGCATTTGGGCAATCTAGGCATGCATCTGGATGATCTGGGCCTGCATCTAGGTCTGGGCCATCAGTGCCCCCAAGCCAGCACGAGAAAACGGCTACTCGCTTTGCATGTCTCGAAACAAGTTTATGGTGGTGATATATCCCCTCTGCCAATTCAGCGTCAGTGACCAAATTTAGCGATCTCAGATGATAGATACACCTTACAACTTGTTCCAGAGTGGGAAGATGACTTTCCGAAACTGTAGGCGACCCGGCTGCAAGGCTCTTGTTGAGGGGATCAAACCCAAGTCGAGGATATTGCTTCATGTTAATCATTCCTTTCTGAAAATGATTCCTGCAAAGTGGGAAACCATAAAAACCCATAAAAATGTGAAACCCCTAATAGAACTCACAAACTCATCTGATTCGATATAAGGAAAACTAAAAACCAAAAGCAAGAAACTCCTGATCATCATGCCACAAACTCACACAAACACCACTAATTAAATCTTTAAAATAACAAACTCAATCTTAACTTCTGCCCAATACCAATAATAAATCTATAATGAACCATTATTGGTTAGAGATGGAATCGCTTTGCATCATCGTCATGGCCAATTTGCTGATTTTTTGAGTGCTTAGATGTTTGGGTAAGTTCAGTCCTATTTAAAGAATTTTTTTGATTTATTTATTTCTTTCAAATTAGACAATATTTTTTAAGATTAATTACTTAACTAAATTTTATATAGTATAACTTAAGTAATTAATATTAAAAAATATGATTTCATTTGAAAGGAAAAAATAAATCAAAGATATTCTTTAAATAGGACTGAACATACCAAAACATCTAAGCCCTTAAAAAATTAGGAAGTTGGTCATGAGGATGATGCAAAGTGAATCTATCTCTAACCAGTAATGGTTCATTATTGATATTATTGATATTGAGCAGAATTTAAAGTGGGGTTTGTTGTTTTTGAAATTTAATTAGTGGTGTTTGTGGCATGATGATCAGGGGCCTCTTGCTTTTGGTTTTTACTTTTCCTTATATTGAATTAGTTGAGTTTGTGAGTTCTATTAGGAGTTTCACATTTTTAGGGGTATTTTATTTTTAATTACGAGTATTAAATATGATTCCCCCCTTTGCAGGAATCTTTTTCAGAGAGGAATGATTGACATAAAGCAACTTCCTCCACTTGGGTTTGATCCCCTCAACAAGAGCCTTCCAGCCGAGTCGCCTACAATTCCAGAAGGTCATCTTCCCGCTCCGGAACAAGTGGCAAGGTTTATCTATCATTTAAGATCGCTAAATCACCATCAGACAATTTGGTCACCGACGTTGAACGGACAGAGGGGATATATCACCACCATAAGCTTGTTTCGAGGCATATGCAAAGACAGCATCCATTTTCTCATGCTGGCTTGGAGGCACTAATAGCCACATGACCCAGATGATGGCCCACATTGGACCATATGGGCCTGCATTCAAGCCTGCACCTAGGCAATCTGCGCATGCATATGAACCATATGGGCCTGCATCTAGGTCATCTGGGCCATCAGTGCCTCCAAACCAACATGAGAAAACGGATGCTGGTTTTGCATATGTTTCGAAACAAGCTTATGGTGGTGATATATCCCCTCTACCAGTTCAACGTCGGTGATCAAGTTGTCTTTGTTTCGATGATGGTGATTTAGCAATCTCAAATGATAGATAAACCTTATCACTTGTTCCGAAGTGGGAAGATGACCTTCCGGAATTGTAGGCGAACCGGCTAGAAGACTCTTGTTGAGGGGATCAAACCCAAGTGGAATAAGTTACTTTATGTCAATCATTCCCCTCTGAAAAAAGATTCCTACAAAGGAGGGAAATCATATTTAATATTTAATACTCGTAATCAAAAATAAAAAACCCTTAAAAATGTGAAACGCCTAATTGAACTCAAAAACTCATCTAATTCAATATAGGAAAACTAAAACCAAAAGCAAGAGGCCCCTGATCATAACGCCACAAACCCACACAAACACCACCGATTAAATATTTAAAACAACAAACTTCACCTTAAGTTCTACCCAATAAAAATAATAAATCTATAATGAACAATTACAGGTTAGAGATGGATTCACATTGCATCATCGTCATCGCCAATTTGCTGATTTTTTTAGGGATTAGATGTTTGGGTAAGTTCAGTCTTATTTAAAAAACTTCTTTGATTTATTTTTTCCTTTCAAATTACAAATTTATTTTGCAGCCGGGTCGCCTACAATCCGGAAGGTCATCTTCCCACTCCGAAACAAGTGGTAAGGTTTATCTATAATTTAAGATAGCTAAATCACCATCACCGAAACAAAGATAATTTGGTCACCGACGTTGAACTGGCAGAAGGGATTTATCACCACCATAAGCTTGTTTTGAGACATATTCAAAGTCAGCATCCATTTTCTCATGCTGGCTTGGGGGCGCCGATGGCCCAGATGACCCAAATGGTCCAAATGCATGCCTATATTGCATAGGTGCAGGCTAGAATGCAGGCTCAGAGGGCCAAAATGCAAGTTCAATGACGCGAATTTGACTATATGAGCCTGCATTCTAGCATGCACCTGGGCAATTTGCGCATGCATATGGAACATCTGGGTCATCTGTGCCATCACTGCCCCAAAGTCAGAAATGAGAAAAAGGATGTTGCCTTTGCACATGTCTCGAAACAAATTAAAGTTGTGATATATCCCCTCTGTCAGTTTAACGTCAGTAACCAAATTGTCTTTGTTTCGGTAATGGTGATGTAATGATTTCAAATGATAGGTAAACCTTACAACTTATTTCGGAATGGGAAGATGACCTTCCAGAACTATATGCGACCCAGCTAGAAAACTCTTGTTGAGGAGATCAAACCGAAGTGGAGGAAGTTTCTTTATGTCAATCATTTCTTTTTGAGAAAGATTCCAACAAAGGGGGAAAATCATATTTAATACCCATAATCAAAAATAAAAAACCCTTAAAATGTGAAACACCTAATAGAACTCACAAACTCATCTAATTCAATATAAGAAAAACTAAAAATCAAAAACAAGAGACCCTTGATCATCATGCCACAAACTCACACAAACATCACTAATTAAATCTTTAAAACAACAAACTCCACCTTAAATTCTGCTCAATTCCAATAATAAATATATAATGAACCATTACAGGTTAGAGATGGATTCACTTTGCATCATCGTCATGGCAAATTTGCTGATTTTTTGAGGGCTTAGATGTTTGGGTAAGTTCAGTCCTATTTACAGAATTTTTTTGATTTATTTTTTCCTTTCAAATTTTACAATATATTTTAAAATTAATTACTTAACTAAATTTTATATAATTTAACTAAAGTAATTAATATTAAAATATATGATTTCGTTTTAAGGAAAAAATAAATCAAATAAATTCTTAAAAAAGGACTAAACATATCAAAACATCTAAGTCTTTAAAAAATCAGCAAGTTAGTCATGACAATGATGCAAAGTGAATCCATATCTAACCAGTAATGGTTCATTATAGAACCAATGGATAGATTCCAGATGATTAATGTCTAAGAAGTTGTCACGAATAAGCCAACAAGGGATTTGCCCCTTCAGCATATTCAGCTTCATCAATATCTGGAAGGTTTTGGGCAGGATGGTTGTGCAAAATTTTTGCTACAGCGCAGATGTTGTAGGTACTACTCCGAGTGGAATTGTATGCCCAGGCACGTGCAACCTGAGTTTCAGCACCAAACTCCGCAATTCGGTTGACAGTTTTTGCTTTAAAATGGGCAATCTGGTTTTGCATCTCGGCAAGCTAGGCCTGCATTTTTAGCTACTTCTGGGCAACCTAGACTTGCGTCTGGCCTTGCAAATGTCTCCAAAGAAGCGTATGGTGGTGATATATCCCCTCTGTCAGTTCAACGTCGGTGACCAAATTGTCTTTATTTTGATGATGATATAACGATCTCAAATGATTGATAGACCTGACCACTTGTTTCGGAGTAGGAAAATGGCCTTCCGAATTTGTAGGCAACCTGGCTGGAAGACTCTAGTTGAGGAGATGAAACCCAAGTGGAGGAAGTTCTTTTATGGCATTCAATCCTCTCTGAAAAAGATTCCTACAAAAGGGGGAAGTCATATTTAATACTCGCAATTAAAAAAAGAAAACCCCAAAAAAAATGTGAAACGCAACCTAAAATAAAAATACATGTGCCAAAACACAAAAAGACCGAAACATCAATATAGAATAGATGAGTAGACTGAAACATCAATGGAGAATATATGAGTAGATTGAAACATCAATGGAGAATAGATGAGTAGAAAAGGCTTTGAACATTTCGCCGCAACTTGAGTACTTCTTACTAATCAGTTGATTGAATTTAGCATCCTCAATGTTTTTCCTGCAAAGATACAAGGCATTAAAATATAACCTTGAGTAGTCACATTAACTTATTGGTCAGAGAAAGATACCACTAAATTTAACCAACATAAGCATCAGGTACTTCAATATTTAACATATTAGAACATCCTAAAGATTAGAGGACACATGATACTAAATGGTAGCATCAACTAAATGAATATTCCAAATTTAATACTACGTAGAATGCAACCCTTTTTTCCATACCTATAAACATAGTAAATGAGATATTCTATATCAACACACTTGTTCTGAAATGTTCCTTCTATGAAATCAGCATACATATAAGTAAAAAAACATGATCAACGTTATGTATTCTTGGTCCAGAGTACTCATCAGTTGGTTGTAGCATATTAAGGTAAATCTTTTCTTCTTTGCTAGAAGCATGAATTCTCTCCGGTACAATGTTTTTCAAATATTCAGAAACAAAAAAAAGAGAACATGCTCTTGAAACTGAAGCATTTATGAACTAATGGTAAAAAAGAGATTAAAAAAACACACCATAAAAGTTTAAAAATGTTCTTGTACTCAAAACTACTCTTCAAAAGACACGGAATAAAACCACGAGCCTGCAAGATGACCTGTACAAGGAAAGTCACCTCTTTCATCTTACTTAACTTATAAGGGTAGATGAAAAACTCAAGCACAACATTCACTAACAATAAGAGTTATAAATAGGCAAATTGCATGTCCAATAATTAGTTCAAGCTGGCTTCGGCACGGATGGCCCAGATTGCATCTGCCCAAATGGTACATATGCATGCCCAGATTGCCCAAGTGGAGACAGGAATGCAAGTCCAAATGGTCCAGATGCAAACCCAGATGGCCCAGACGTAGGTCCGGATTGCCCTGATGCAAAACCAGATCGCCCATTTTCAGGCACAAACTCTTGATCGAATTGCGGGGCTTAGTGCTACAACTCAGGTTACACGTGCCCGGGGATACAATTGCACTCGGAGTAATACCGACAACATCCGCGTTGTAGTAAAAATTTTGCACGGTCATCCTGCCAAAAACCCTCCTCCATACTTTGATTTTGATTAAGCTCGATATGTCGTAGGGGAAAATCCCTCGTTGGCCTTATTCCTGACAACTTCTTATACATTAATCATCTTGGGCATGATCATGCGAACTCCATACATTGGTTCCATAATGAACCATTACTTATTAGAGATGGTTTCACTTTGCATCATTGTCACCACAAACTTGCTCATTTTTTGAGAGCATACATGTTTGGGTAAATTCAGTCCTACTTAAAGATATTATGTGATTAATTTTTTCTTTTCAAATTAAATCATATATTTTAAAATTAATTACTTAACTAAATTTTATATAGTTTAACTAAGTAATTAATCTTAAAAAATATGATTTAATTTGAAAGGAAAAAATAAATCGAAAAAATTCTTTACATATGATTGAACTTACCCAAACATCTAAACCCTCAAAAAATCAACAAGTTGAACATGATGATGATGCAAAGTGAATCCATCTATAACCAATAATGGTTCATTATAGAACCAATGGATAGAGTCCAAATGATCATGCCCAAGATGATTAATGTCTAAAAAGTTGTCAGGAATAAGGCTAACAAGGGATTTGCCCCTACGGCACATTAAGCTTCATCAAAATCAAAGTATAGAGAGTTTTGGGCAGGATGGTTGTGCAAAAATTCTAATACGACGCAGATGTTATCGGTATTGCTCCGCATGGAATTGTACGGTCAGGCACGTGGAACCTGAGTTTTAGCAACAAACCAAGCAAATCGGTCAAAAGTTTGTGCCTAAAAATGGGCGATCTGATTCTGCATCTGGGCAAACTGGGCCTGCATTTCTGTCTGCACCTGGACATACGTCAGGGTCATCTGAACTTGCATTTGGACCATTCGTGCCTACATTCCAGCCTGCACCTCACCTGGGCAATCTGGGCATTCATCTGGACCATCTGGGCTGGGTCATCTAGGCCATCAGTGCCCCCAAACCAGCACGAGAAATAAGATGTTGGCTTTGCATATGTCTCGAAACAAGCTTATGGTGGTGATATATCCCCTCTGCCAATTCAACGTCGGTGACCAAATTGTCTTTGTTTCGGTGATGGTGATTTAGCGATATCAAATGATAGATAAACCTTACCACTTGTTCCGAAGTGAAAAGATGACCTTCCGGAATTGTAGACGACCCGGCTGGAAGGCTCTTGTTGAGGGGATCAAACCCGAGTGGAGGAAATCACTTCATGTCAATCATTCCTTTCTGAAAAAGATTTCTACAAAGGGGGGAAACCATATTTAAATTTTGTAATTAAAAATAAAAACCCTGAAAATGTGAAACCCCTAATAGAACTCAAAACTCATCTAATTCAATATAAGGAAAACTAAAAACCAAAAACACGAGACTCATCGATCATCATGCCACAAACCCACACAAACACCACTAATTAAATCTTTAAAACAACAAACTCCACCTTAAATTCTGTCCAATACCAATAATAAATCTATAATGAACCATTATTGGTTAGAGATAGATTCACTTTGCATCATCATCATGGCCAATTTCCTGATTTTTTGAGTGCTTAGATGTTTAGGTAAGTTCAGTCCTATTTGAAGAATTTCTTTGATTTATATATTCCTTTAAACTTAGACTATATTTTTTAAGATTAATTACTTAACTAAATTTTATATAGTAAAGTAACTAAAGTAATTAATATTAAAAAATATGATTTCATTTGAAAGGAAAAAATAAATCAAAGATATTATTTAAATAGGACGGAACATACCAAAACATTTAAGCCCTCAAAAAATTAGCAAGTTGGTCATCACGATAATGCAAAGTGAATCCATCTCTAATCATTAATGGTTCATTATAAATGTATTATTGATATTGGGCAGAATTTAAAGTGGGGTTGTTTTTGAGATTTAATTAGTGATGTTTGTGGCTTGATGATCAGGGGCCTCTTGCTTTTGGTTTTTAGTTTTCCATATATTTAATTAGATGAGTTCGTGAGTTCTATTAGTTGTTTCACATTTTTAGGGGTTTTTTATTTTTAATTACGAGTATTAAATATGATTCCCCCCTTTGCAGGAATCTTTTTCAGAGAGGAATGATTGACATAAAGCAACATCCTCCCCTTGGGTTTGATCCCCTCAACAAGAGTCTTCTAACCAGGTCACCTACAATTACGGAAGGTCATCTTCCCACTCCGGAACAAGTGGTAAGGTTTATCTATTATTTAAGATCGATAAATCACCATTACCGAAACAAAGAAAATTTTTTCACCACCATAAACTTGTTTTGAGACATGCAAAGCCAACATCCATTTTTTCTCAAGCTGGCTTGGAGCACTGATAGCCCGGATGACCAGATGATGGCCTAGATTGGACCATATGGGCCTGCATTCCAGCCTGCACCTAGGTAATCTGCGCATGCATATGAATCATATCTGGGCCTGCATCTTGGTCATCTGGGCTATCAGTGCTCCAAGCCAGCTTGAGAAAACGGATGCTGGCTTTGCATATGTTTCGAAACAAGCTTATGGTGGTGATGTCTCCCCTCTGCCGGTTCAACGTTGGTAATCAAATTGTCTTTGTTTCGGTGAGGGTGATTTAGCGATCTCAAATGATAGATAAACCTTACCACATGTTCCGGATTGGGAAGATGACCTTGTTGAAGGGATCAAATCCAAGTGGAGGAAGTTATTTTATGTCAATCATTCCCCTCTGAAAAAGATTCTTACAAAGGGGTGAAATCATATTTAGTACTCGTAATTAAAAATAAAAAACCCTTGAAATGTGAAACACCTAATAGAACTCAAAAACTCATCTAATTCAATATAAGAAAAACTAAAATCAAAAGTAAGAGGCCCCTGATCTTAATGCCACAAACCCACACAAGCACAACTAATTAAATCTTTAAAACAACAAACTTCACCTTAAATTCTGCCCTATAACAATAATAAATCTATAATGAACCATTACTGATTAGAGATGGATTCACTTTGCATCATCGTCATGGCCAATTATTGCTGATTTTTTGAGGGATTAGATGTGTGGGTAAGTTCAATCCTATTTAAAGAATTTCTTTAATTTATTTTTTCCTTTCAAATTAAACTCTTTTTTAGATTAATTATTTAACTAAATTTTAAATAGTTTATCTAAAGTAATTAATATTAAAAAATATGATTTCATTTGGCAGGAAAAAATAAATCAAAGAAATTCTTTAAATAGGACTGAACATACCAAAACATCTAAGCCCTCAAGAAATCAGCAAGTTAGTCATGACGATGATGCAAAGTGAATCCATCACTAACCAGTAATGGTTCATTATAGATTTATTATTGGTATTGGGCAGAATTTAAAGTGGAGTTTGTTGTTTTAAAGAATTAATTAGTGGTGTTTGTGAGGGTTTGTGGCATGATAATCATGGGTCTCTTGCTTTTGGCTTTTAGTTTTCCTTGTATTGAATTAGATGAGTTTGTGAGTTCTATTAGGTTTTTCACATTTTTAGGAATTTTTTATTTTTAATTACGAGTATTAATGATTGACATAAAGCAACTTCCTCCACTTGGATTTGATCCTCTCAACAAGAGCCTTGCAGTCGAGTCGCCTACAATTCCGGAAGGTCATCTTCACACTCTGAAACAAGTGGTAAGGTTTATCTATCATTTAAGATCGCTAAATCACCATCACCGAAACAAAGATAAATTGGTCAACGATGTTGAACTGGCAGAAAGGATATATGACCACCATAAGCTTGTTTCGAGACATATGTAAAGCCAGCATCCATTTTCTCATGCTGGCTTGGGGACACCGATGGCCCAGATGACCCAGATGGTCCAAAAGCATGCCCACATTGCATAGGTGCACGCTCGAATGCATTCTAACATGCACCTGACAATCTGCGCATGCATATGGACCATATGAGCCTGCATCTGGGTCATCAGTGCCCCAAGCCAGAAATGAGAAAACGGATGCTGACTTTGCATGTCTCAAAACAAGCTTATAATGGTGATATATCCCTCTGTCAGTTCAACGTCGGTGACCAAATTGTCTTTGTTTCAGTGATGGTGATTTAGTGATTTCAAATGATAGATAAACTTTACCACTTGTTCCGGAGTGAGAAGATAACCTTCCGAAATTGTAAGCGACCCGGCTGGAAGACTCTTGTTGAGGGAATCAAACCCAAGTGGAGGAAGTTGCTTTATGTCAATCATTTCTCTCTGAGAAAGATTCCTACAAAGTGGGAAAATCATATTTAATACCTACAATTAAAAATAAAAAACCCTTAAAAATGTGAAACACCTAATAGAACTCACAAACTCATCTAATTCAATATAAGGAAAACTAAAAATCAAAAGCAAGAGGCCCCTGATCATCATTCTACAAACCCATACAAACACCACTAATTAAATCTTTAAAACAACAAACTCCACCTTAACTTCTGCCCAACACCAATAATAAATATATAATGAACCATTACTCATTAGAGATGGATTCACTTTGCATCATCGTCATGGACAAATCCCTTTTTTTGAGGGCTTAGATGTTTGGGTAAGTTCAGTCTTATTTAAAGAATTTCTTTGATTTATTTTTTCTTTTCAAATTTAACAATATATTTTAAAATTAATTACTTAACTAAATTTTATATAATTTAACTAAAGTAATTAATATTAAAATATATGATTTCATTTTAAGGAAAAAATAAATCAAACAAATTCTTAAAATAGGATTGAACATATCAAAACATCTAAGTCTTCAAAAAATTAGCAAGTTAGTCATGACAATGATGCAAAGTAAATCCATATCTAACCAGTAATGGTTCATTATAGAACCAATGGATAGATTCTAGATGATCATGCCCAAGATGATTAATGTCAAAAAAGTTGTCACGAATAAACCAACGGGGGATTTGCCCCTGCGACATATTGAAATAGTAACAACTCTCTATATACAGTAGAAATAGTAATGAAGGTTCATTAGTAGACACTGTACAGGTCCAGTCATGTCCGGCCTGGCTGTTTCCAAGATCAGGTGTACAAAATATCCAAAAGAAATATTAAAATGTTTAAAATACAACCCATCAGTTTTGGCCAACCTGTTAATTGGGGCATGTGTATTTTCAGCCAATCAAAACATGACAGCATGATCTTGGGACATGTATTTTCTTTGTGGAAAGAGCATTCATTTCCCTATAAATACTACTCTTTCTGAAAGAATACCACTGAATTCCTTGAATTCTCTTTTTTCTGTTCATTCTCAGCCTGTATTATGAAAGAGTATCATCCCAACATGGTATACATATATATACACACACACATATATATATACACTATGTAGTTAACTCGCTACTCGGTAGCAACTCGGTAAAGGGCCGAGTAGCGAGTAGGACCGATTACTCGGTGACTACTCGGTCTTGTAATTATTAAATTTAATAGCACAGGTGCCTAAGATTAAAGAAATATAATAGTCTTAAATTTGTCTTAAAATGATAGATATCCTAATGATGGAGTAGCAAAAGTCATAAACATTCTAAGTCATTTAGAAAACTCAATCATCTAATAATTTGCTAGGATCTCTGTGCTCTCCTCATGTCCGTCCTAAATCATCTGATTTCTCTTAAGTGTTGGATTAGCATATTCTGTAAATTAGATGATGTGTATCAGTGTGTATCGATCAATGATTTGCCATAATAAACGATCAATATAGTGATATTAATTTAGAGTTACAAATATACGAAGTATAATATATATAGTCATACTAGTGAAATTAATTTATTTATATCAACAAATATGTGTGCATCAATATCAAGATGGTGATATTTTAAAAATGCAGAAAAGAACAATTAGCGAAGAAGGATGGGAGGGCGGAAGAAGAAGAAACGAGAGAGGGGAGAGGGGAAGATACAAGAAAGAGGATGGGAACTTATTGAGAGATCATAGTCACGGCTCTGGGGGATAGTAGATTTCAGAAACTCCGTTTAACCTAGATTTTGTAACTTAGTTTTTCAATTTTAGAGGGGGACCGAGTTAGACCGAGTACTCGCTGAGTTGAAAACTTCACTGAGTTGAGAAACCCGGCGAGTAACTCGGAAATAAAACACGGACCGAGTCAGATAGCTACTCGACAAGGTCGGTACCCAAGTTGCGAGTACTCGCCGAGTACTCACCGAGTAGATATCCCAATGTGTATATATATATATATATATATATATACACACACACACACATATATATATATATAATATTCATATTTGATACATGTAGTTCCTTTCTTATAGAGAAATGAAAAGTACATTACTTGAATTGATAGAGGGAGAAAGCAAATGAGATTACAACTTGATGTGAGCATAAACAAAAGATGTAAATGTTAGAGCTTCTTGAAGTTTCTTGGCACCTATCTTTTTCAAGTAGAGAGAACTACATATTAGAAAGAGGCTATGATATGCACCAAAGATGCAGCAAAGATGAGAATACTTTAGCCTAAGCTCAACTATGCATATTTCTAATGCTCTCAACAAAATAAGAAACTGCAGGAGATAATAAAATAGCAATGCCTAAAAGAAATGTCAATTTCAAATCTAAATTTCAGACCTGAATTTGTTCTGGAATCAATATAGAAGTGTCGATCTTGATCCTTGAAGCTCAATTTGATCTGGAATGAATCAAATAAAAAGGTTAATAAACTGATATGTTTTTGTACTAGCAGCTTCAAGAAAGTACTGTTCAGAGTTTTGAAAACATGCTTTTTTACTTTTGAGAACATGCATATTTTCCTTCATATGTACATTGTTCGTTTATATTCATTTAAATGTATGTAGTTAAGGTGAAAGATTATGTTACTTGAAAGGTACATACAGTTAAGTCTGTTTGCTTATAAAAAGTTTATATCTAGGGAATAAATACTTTTTTAATTAAGTGTTGGTTCAGGCTATGTGAAAGTAAGAACAATTAAGTAGTCAGTTAATATCACTCTTTAATTACAGGGAAAAAACAGATTTAGTAATCAAGGAAAAAAACAGTTAGTTGACACAATCAAGGAAAAGAATGTTAAGGAATAAGAGTCTATTTGTATAGAGGAGTTGATATCAAACACAATACTTGGAGAATATCCAAATATCATTGTGCCAGAGTAAGTCTATAATAGAATATCTTTGTTTATTTCTTTTTAAAACACAATGTGTTAAGTAATATATGTTCAGCAGTTATGCATATATTCATATTTGTCAATCTTATACCCTTTATATTATATAGAGAGTGAAAGTGTAAATTAAACTCACGGGTGGGGAGGTGTCTTGGTACGATTTTCTCAGCAGATTAGCTACCCAAGAAGTTGGTGCCTGTCAAATTTAATAAAAATGTTACTTATAGCAGTTAAAACCGAATCTATAAAAAAAATCTCCGTTCCACATATTATCATGTAGATATGTAAAAACAATAAACAGATTTGCTTAAATTTTTCTAAAACTTTACTTCAATTGCCGTCAAGTTATTCATGAGTAAGAATCCTCGCTCGATATCATCAAAGAAGAATAGAAATTGAAATTACTAAAAGCCCTTAAGGTTTTAGAATAGATTTGTTTGTAAAAAACCTTTCACTTAACAAATAGATTCGTATATGTCATTCATGTACCGATCTATAGAATTTGCTACCGAACCCTTGCAAGATCTTCTGTGCTTTGCGACTTACCGATGTAGATTGATGACATGATTCTGTTGTAGATGTGGTCGGTTGATCAGATTACCCATGAAGCGGCTGACGGGAGGGGCAGAATCAGAAGTCCACAATGGGGTGAGCTGAGAAATAAAATTTGAAGACACACACATAATAGTACTGAAAGTCGTCAACACTTAATATTCATTAAACATCATTTAAGTTGTGCCCTACGCGACTTCAAACTATAAAATTCGTCAATAATATAGAATCTACATCTTGTAATGCAAAAAGATGGAGGCAGCTCCAAATTTGAGATAGTTTGGATTTCAGGGATTTGGTCTTGTGGAGGAACCTCATTTCGTAGATCTTGCATTATCGTAGGTATAGATTCAGAACTCCCTTCACCACTTTGACGATTCACTTTTGGAAAGAATGACGAAATTAACTTCTTTCCTTTCTTGGCAATATGTTCATTAATCATTATCCATTCTAAAATAACATTTTCAATATTGGTATGAATTAAAATACTTCTATAAAATTATAAAACTAATAAGAAAAAACAATAGTTGTACATAAAACTAATAAGTATTCCCAATTTCAAGATTTAATTGAAAATTTTAATGCTTTTTTACATGTCCACACAATGAATAAATCAATCTATATTCTTCAATTGTATGATAAGTAAATCATTCTCTAATTTTTAATTACATCTTTACTCATTATAAATTTAAAATTAATAAACACTATTTTGTTATGAACTCAGAAATTCAATTAATAATAAAATTGATAATCTAACCCTAAAAATAACAATACACAACAACAATACACAATAACCCTGAAAAAATCGATTAATTAATGTCTAAAAGAGTATTAGAAATTTAGAGCTAGAGTATACCTGGTCACCTAGAGGCTGGAGCCCAGGAGCTACAGGCAGAGCGGAGAGCCGGAGAGAAAACACGGCTGAGTTTTCGACGGCGTCCGGCGGCGCGGCTGGTGGCTGCAGGTCAGCTGGTGTTCGCAGTTCACAGCGTCTTCCTCGGCTCGATGCAAGCTGCCAGGCTCCTCGTCGACCTTCGTTCTTCGATCTTCGCATAAAGACTTCACTAGGCCGCAGGTGAGTGATAGTTGGACACCGTATTAGGTTTGGGCTGTACTGGGAATTAATTTTGGAGTGGGCCGATAATCAAACTTATATCTATATTAATAGGGCTTTTTTCACAAGTAGCCTAAAAGTGAAACTTATATCACTTTTATCCCTTTTCAAAATTTCTTTCAAAAATAGCCTAGACAAGGTTTCGTTTTCAATAATAGACAATCACCACTAGCCGGCCTGCTTGTTATGTAACGGATTGCAACAATAAAAAAAGTAACGACTTGCATACGGAAGTGTGAAAATCAACACATGTTTCATGCTCTGTTATTACACGCACATTGCACATGAGTGAAAATCCACTCATGTAGTATTTAATAATTTTAGAAAATTAAGAGAAAAACGAAAAATTACATAAAATTTTATGCAAATAAACTGAAACATGTTTATATATTATAGAGAACCCTTAAACTTTCTTTTGGTGGCAGAGCACTTAAAACTTTAAAAAGGTAATAAAGGTACTAAAAATACAATAAATGTAATAAAAATTATAAAGGTTGAAAACAATAAATAATTGTATTTTAAATACGTACACTAAAATAAAATAAAATAAAATAAAATAAAATGAAAAAAGTACAAAAAAAGAATCCTTATAAATGGAGAAAAAATTATAAACAAACATGTAGTATGTAAAACTAGATAAAAATATTTTGGAACTACTAAAAAGTATGAAATGTAATTATAATTTTTTATGAAAGAATATATTTTTTAAGATGGAATAATTCCATAGTAAAAACTCTATAAAATCTAGATGTCTATATAATTTTAAAATATTTTAAAAAATCTAGAATAATTTGTAAAGTACAACAAAATAGAAAAATATAATTCATAAATTTGACAACAATATCAAAAAAATAATCATAAAAAGTGTATAATATTAAAAACTAGAAAATTAAAAAAATAAAGACTTAAAATGTTGAACACGTAAAAAATTAAAATTGAAAAATTGAAAATTTAAATTTTTAATTCAATAATTTTTAAATATTTTTAAATATGATTATCATCTTATTGCTAGTTCCGTAGAATATTGTTTCCTTGTGTTTCATTTTGTTGATAACTTTATTTGTATGTTTTTTATTGTTTCACCATGTTTGTGGTTGTTCCTAATATTCATAATTCCACATTTATAATTTTAGGTGTTCATATATATACATATTGCATAAATAAAAAGTTACTACATACAAACGAAAACATAGATGAACAATAAACAACATAAATTAAAAAGCTATATTTCAAAAAATCAATAAAAAGCAACATTCGTGCAACAAAAAGCAACACACGAAACAACAACAACAAGATACAACAAAAAGCAACATCGTGCAACAAAAAGCAACACACGAAATGCAATAAAAAGAAACAAAAATATATAAAAGTATCACAATAAATATATCACGAATTTGTTATTTCAATGTAATTGTAATTAAACATATGGTCATGATGCGGAGAGAGCATGGATTAAATGGAGCGTGTTTCTGAAATCATCAATTAAATGGCTGTTACAGGTGTGCATTAGCAACAAGTACACACTTCGGGGAATACAATAGCTTTGGATTGGGTTTTATATAAGCATCTTATGGACATGTCACAACATTCAAGGTTTTATAAATTCAATAAATAAATATATAATTTTATTGTTTTTTTGTTGCATATTGTTTATTTTTATTTCCTTTTGTTGCATATTATTTATTTTTGTTTCCTTTTGTTGATATCTCTGAATTTTTTGTTTTTTATTGTTTCATAAATGAAAATTTATCATTATTGAGATTTAATATACAATGCATGAACATAAAAATCTACATATGCAAAGATAAATAAAATCTACATATGCAATAATAAATAAAATCCTGCATAAACATAAAAATCAAGAGCAACATTAAAACGAAAATAAGCAACAAAATGCAACACGATGCAACAAAAAACAATACGATGCAACAAAATGCAACACATTTAATACAACAAAAAATAACATATAAAAGTATCACAACATTTATGTAATTCAGTCTGGTATTTCAGTGTATTAAATATATGTATTGTACAATTTTGCTTTCTTTCACTTCCTTTTATGCATCTTAGAAAAAAATTCTCAAAGTGAATACAACAATGGTTATCCAAGGGTATAGAATACTGCAATGGTTGGACAAACTGAAAAATGAAGAATGGTTGACCCAAGCTACATATTATCCATGCATGGAGTACTAATTGGTGCACTAATACGGAGTAATATAGATTACTCAATATACTGTATATATGGGGGTAAGGTTGGTTATAAGATGATTCCATCCCTAGTACTAAATATCTAATGATTGCTTAACCTTTTCTGCTAGGAACTGAAGTATGTGTTCACGGTTTCCAGTTGTCCATTCTAATGGTTTCCTTGCACCCTCCATAATCCAGCATAATCAACTTTGGTGGATAATTGTATGCATATTGATTTTACAGAAGGAATCTTCTCCTTCTCTTCTTTTAAAGCCAACAATTTCATGGTAGAATACAAATTTCCTCATGCAAACTTCTATAACTGCTCCTGCATATACAACCTTGCTTGTGGCATCATTAGAGTCTTCAGTGCAACACTTCAAACAATAAAAAACTACCTCTTGATCTTTCACTGCTTTGTGCTTAGTTGTTCCTCCACAACCATTGCAAGAACCAAGCAGTGGATTAGCACAACACCAAAGATTAATTGTTCAACCAGTGTTCAATTGTATAGCCCAGTCCATGTCCCCTTTTCCAGCCCCGCCAACAAGACTAGCCCCTGCAACAGCAACATCCCCACACACTTGAGACGAATTCAAATGTGCAATAACAACAATACCACTAATTTCCAGAGAAAGAGTATCCAATAAAAAAGCGATTCCACTAGATTTCACGAGCTCTGAGATCGGCCTAAATCGAATATATTAAGCAAACAAGTAATAGACACTGGACTATACAAACTTGTAGAACCTTTAGATCAGAACTAATTCACGGCCCAGGAACCACAAACTTGATATAGATTCACACCTCTAGCGCCTAATTGAAGAGCGAGCTTCTAAACCGCGACTTTAGACGGGAAGATAACTTACCAGTCGCGGACTGCGCTGGAAAGGATGGGGCAGCGGTGGGTTCCAGAGGACGTGAATCGGCGGGCTCCAGAGGACTTGAATCGACGTTGGTTGTTGACCGCTGAACAATTTGTTGGCAGAGAGGGGGCGGATCGTTGCAATAAGGGATCAATCGAAACCAGTCGACGCTGAGATGCAACCTCCCTTTCTTCAGATGTTGCATCGTCCGCTCCAACGAGAACAGTTTGGACGATTGCTGTGGGAAGAACTCCATGAATTCATACACTTAGATTAGAACAGATGTTGCGGTCAACGTTTCCATGGCATGTGACTATGTGGTGAGATAAGAAGGGAGAAGTCGGGAAGAAAGTCTGAGAGGATGGTGAAGGTTGAAGGTTTAAAAGTATTGACGGAAGTGACGGAACCTGTCTAGAGTGAAATAAAAAAACCCAATTGAAAATAAGAAAGTTATTATTGAAAAGAGAAATTAATTGGGACATTAATGATATCTAATTCTAAAAAGGGGATCACACGGGTAATTTGCACATATTAATATATAAAGGGTAGTTCTATTTACAGCCACTATTTTACTAAACACAGCCATTATATTTAAAGTTAATAAATAAAATAATGAATTGCCCAATTATGCCCTTTTCCCAATTAAATACGAAGCACAACACAACATGGGTTTCTTTGGGAACCTATTCGTCCGGTCACCGGCGTCCAATACTCCAAGCTTTCACAGACTACACCATACCCCAAATTGTGTGCGTGTTTTACTCCCAAATTAGAAGCACTAGATGTATGTTTTCATTTTAATATTTTCTTTATATTCTGGCAAATTATGTGTCCTCAGATTATATATACATCGTTAGCTCAAAATTGGTTGTTGATACGATTAGCCCCAGAATTTATAGAGAAGAAGCTCCACAATCGTCTCTACACGGAGTTTGCAATCCATGGAGGATTTGATTGACTTCTAATAACATGTAATGGCGGCTATGTCTGGCTCACTATCTCGAATCACAAAACTTTTCAATTCGAAGATACTCAAAGCCAATTGCGGATCTGTCATCAACGTCGGGATATGGAAGTCCATTTATTCCTCTAAATATTTGGTGGGGACTAAGAAACATAAGTCATGGAACTGTGAATTGGGTGATATCCTCAGATGGGAAGCCGAGATTTGAAACTCTAGAGGCATATCCCCTAAGAAGGAAAAATGGATAAAAAAGAAACGACTGAGAGAGAAGAGGAAGAAAGACAAAAAGAAGAGGAAAGCAACAAATAAGAGAGATCTCCGAAGGCTGGGAGTTGAGGTAAAGAAGAAATAGCAGAGCGTGTAATTTGAACGGATGGAGGAAGGGCATAATAGGGCAATTCTTTATGTTATTTATTAAATTTAAATATAGTGAGTGTGCATAGTAAAACGGGAAGTGTAAATAGAATTACCCAAAATACCCATATATAAATAAACAATTGGGTTGGAGCCCACCCCTACCCACAATGATCCGCCCCAATGATGGGGGGTTTGTGAAGATCGAATTTTGATCGGAAGCTAAGTTTGACTGAGTGTAATGGAAATGAAATGCCAGAACTCCCAGAGGCCATAACCCTATTTGTTGGGTCGATATATTTGTTGAGTTATTTATTAGAACTACAAATGGGGAGGTTGTGTTGGGTTAGATGGCTACACAGAGACGCTCTAGACAAGTAACATCCGTATTGGAAGGGTGAATGAGGAGGTTTGTAGGGTTTTTGTTACCTAGGCTTCTACTAGGATTACACTTGCATTTTACATTACAATTGGTACAAAGATACTCTCCGTCCCATTTTACCTATTCCACTTTCCTTTTTTGATTGTCACAAAATAAGTTTCATTTTTTCCTTTTTGGAAAGAAATATGTGTTCTACGGCTAGGGGTGAGTACCGGTCCAACACCAGATCGGAATGG